ATTGGAAGCAAGTAAGTTGTGAGCACTAACCGACATCAATGGTTATTGATCATGTCATGTCAACTACACAGACTGATCAAACAACATGAATAGAGAGTAGTTACAATATTTCGACAGGCCAATACCAGTCTTCATCAGGTTTATTAGGAAGATCACGAATTTTCAAAAATATATGTGATACTACAACAGACGGAAGTCACGTAGTATGGTGTTTCTAGTTTAAAAAACGTAAGGTAACAGAAAAACAAATAATGATTTGTTATTATATCTCTTAGGGGTCCGTGCACACTTCGGCCAATCTAATTTTCTATTTTTCCAACAAAAACGGAAAAAGGAAATATTACTTATCGTTATCATATTTACATATTTTAAAGTACAGAAAAAAAGAAAATGGTCAGGAAAATTGATCATTTTTTCATTTTCCTAATTTTGAAGTCCGCTTCAAAAATTCAAAAAATACTGTAAAGGGCTAAAAGCGATATTTTGCTATTTTTTATTTTCTTGCTGTTGTTAGAAAATGAGAAAAAATGAAATAGTCTCCGATTCTTAACTCATTTTTCTATTTTTCCGTTTTTCGCAAAAAATAGAAAAAAGGAAAAATGAAAAAATCACATTTATTCGCACCATTTTTTCATTTTTTCCATTTTGTTCAAAAAATGAAAAAATAGAAAAATGGAATACCTATCGCCTAATTTTCCATAATTCCATTTTAACGAGAAAAATGAAAAAAATGACAAGTGTTGCGAACAATTTTTTCATTTTTTCAATAAATAGAAAACAAACAAACAAACAAAAACGGACAATTTTTCATCTTTTGTTTTAATGAAAAATAGCAAATAAAAATGACAAATCATGAGCATTTACCAATAAAGAAAAGGAAAACCTAATCCACTTTAGACTCACTAGTTTTGTTAGACGATTTACACAGGGTCGGCAGAGACGTGGGATGGGAAGGGGAGGCTTGGGCCCTTTAGTTCTCGGAATGCGAACGTACTTTCATTCACTTTTGGATTTGATTGGCTGATTCCTTTACCTCATTACTTAGGACTCACTCTGTGACCTGTTCTAACACTGCGTCACCATAAAGTGTTCCTGTTCCATTCAAATTGTGGAACTTTTCCCCATACTTGTCGCATGGGTTTCCCGACATTAGCGATCTTTGCTCTCGTCTTTCCAGGGCTGACTTGCTTAAAAGGTGGATAACGCTATCCGCTGGATAAATAACTATCCAGTAGATAACGCAATTGGTTTCCCTAAAATACATAAAAAAATTATCAGGCCGCTGGATAGTGATTTATCGGGTGGATACTCGCTATCCAACGTTTAAACAAATGTATGAGCAAATGTATGGGGCCAGATCATTAAGATGTTCTCTCCCGCGAATGTATACTAGCCGCCTCATTAAGTTTCTCCTCCATAATATTAATTCAATATACTTTACTCTTGCAATCCTCAAACAACCGTTCTGCGGCAAGTTCCGTTATTTCGGCAGGCTAAGGGTTAGCAGGGTTAACCCTTAACCCAGGGTTAACCTTAAGCAGTCTACTTTCTATTTCATTTAAAAGCGTCTGACCTCTGGCGTGCTCTTTCTTTATTTTGTGCATGTAACTGTTCAACGACCTTCTTCTTAACTCCTTCAACTTAATCTCTCTCACGAACCGCTTTTTTTGTGCCGGGACCATAGTTGCTGGCATGAAAACCGTTGAGTTACCCCCCCTTTTTTTCCTGTACCAATTTTCACGCCTTCTCCGCCTCCCTCCTACCCTTTCTAATATTCTTCATTTCCACGGCCGGTACGATACGGTTTTCCCGCCGCTTTCATCCACAGCCGACTCCCGACAACTCAAACCTTCAGGGAAATCGTGAAAAGTTAATCAACTTCAAAAGTTAATAGAACTACATACGTCCGCATCTCGAAAACTAAGCCCTCCCCCCCCCAAATTCCCCCACATCTCCGCCGACCCTGGGTAAATCTTCTAACCAAATTAGCGAGTCTCTTCTTAACCGTTAAAATATTCATAACATCTCACTTTTCTGCGCCATTTTTTAATAAAATAAAAAGTGAAAAACTGTCTGAAAGGGTGTATCGTTTTAAAGTTTTACTATTTATTAAATATATAAAAAAATTGAAAATTGCTCGCAACACTTGTCATTTTTTCATTTTTCTTATTAAAATGGAATTATGGAAAATTGGGCGATAGGTATGCTATCTTTCTATTTTTTCATTTTTTGAACAAAATGGAAAAAATGAAAAAACGGTGCGAATAAATATGATTTTTTTCATTTTCCTGTTTTTCTATTTTTGGCGAAAAACGGAAAAATAGAAAAATGAGTTAAGAATCGGAGATTATTTCATTTTTCTTATTTTCTAACAATATCAAGAAAATAAAAAATAGCAAAATATCGCTTTTAGCCGTTTACAGTATTTTTTGTATTTCTGACGCGGACTTCAAAATTAGAAAAATGAAAAAATGATCAGTTTTCCTGACCATTTTCTTTTTTTCTATTTTTGTCTGTACTTTAAAAATATGTAAATATGACAACGATAAGTAATATTTCCTGTTTCCGTTTTTGTTAGAAAAATTAAAAATTAGATTGGCCGAAGTGTGCACGGACCCTCTCTTATTTAGTACGCACAATGCGATTGGTCAATTTTGCGGGCCGTATTTTCCAGTACGGCCCGCAAGACTTCGGAAGACTCTTTCGAAACGCATTTAAAAATATTGTACGCAGATAGAGAAAAACGACAGGAAACTATACAAGGTGAAGAAAATTTGCCAAACTTTCATGTGGATTTCGTGAAGCTTTTCGAGGGAATCGAGCAAGAATTAGAGCAAGACGAGCCTGACTCAAGTCTAGAACTTGACAACTTTTTCGTAGCCCAAAAATCTACAAATTCAGTAAAGAATATATAATGTACTGAATGTAAGTGGAAGAAATTTGAAAAATTTTGTGAAGAGCAGTGCAATGGAAATTTCAATGTACAAGACATACCTGCTGATGCATGCTCTCGACAAGCTTCTTGGAAAATTTTTTAAAGATGTCCGCAAAAAAGATGGAGGTGTTATTTTTATTATTGATTTTGTCGTTTTTTGGCTGTTATTGTGTGACCCCTGTCCCTCAAGAGAGTGACAGGGGTCACACAATAACAGCCATAAAACAGGAACACAGGAATACATCAAAGGTAAGTCTCCTTCATTTATTTTATAGAAAAAAGGTAAAAATGAAATGATGTTAACGTTCGAAGACCTCAGTACAGTTTTTTTTTCATACAAAGTCTCAACGGTCGCTTGTAACGCGACACCTACTCTCTCGTGAGAAAATTCACATAACACACTCGTAACGTGAGCTTGGGACGCCTGGGGTATCAGTCTGTTATGAAAGTACAACTCAAAGTACAACTAGTACAACTCAAAATATTAACGTCGATAAAACTCTATTAATGTTCATTAATTCAAACAAGAACAGTTCGCACTGCAAGTTTGGCGCTTGTCAAAAGTGAGAACCGGCCGGCCGTAGGTGATTTGCTAAAAGACCATTATTGACCTGCATACCACATAGGATTAGATTGTTCTGACTGAACAATTCCGAAATTATGGGATTCTCTTCATGAAAATGTTTTATAATGTGGTCGCTGATTCTATAATTTGTTGTGCAAAGGAAGCGCGTGCTTCGATCGTCCTGAATATTGAATGAGTGCAATTTGTCTTGCAAAATTGCGAAAAACTGCATTTTGTCCGATGCCTGTATGATAAAAAACAGCCCCTAATGGTACAGTTTACGTCAGATGTGATGTATAAAGATTTTGTAAAGTAAACTTGTCGAACGCAAAAAATTCGGCCTGATTTTGTTTCCCGAGAATTTGTTTTCCAAGCCTAATCTACTGTGATCAAGAGATGATTGCTGTTTTTTGGGGTACATATAAGGCTATTAACTCGATGTAAGATTTGTTTCACTCTTGGACTGTTTGTAAATTATTTTTCTCTAAAACCACTTACCCTCTCCCTCAAAATTCGCATAAATGTGCCCTAAAGTTAACTGGTTAGTGGAATACAAGTTTATTGTTTGATTTAAATTATAAATTTACTAATGTTAGCTTCGCTTTTAGGCCTTGCTAAATCTATATATTAAACACAGTTTTATAGCCTGAAATTCATCCGATTGCTTCGAGTCGTTTTCTCCTCTCAACAACGTCTGAATCGACCGGCCGTTAATGCCGTCCAGTGACGTCACTCACTACCCGAAAACCGGGTAGTGATTTTGATTGGTTGATTGTCTAAACATTCGCATAATTATGTATAATTATGAAAAAATTTTAGCGGGATCGTCGCTTGATATTCAGCGGATCGCATCCCTGGCATTCTTTCGTGTAGTTCAAACATTTTGATAAGCTTAATCTTCATCTTAAACAGCAAAATTGCCTTTGCCTTCGAATCTGAAATGCTAAATTGAACTGCGAATGAAGAATCATTGCGGAGAGTCGGTAGGTTTTTCATTTAGAGCTGCTTTGTGGTTTCGGCGGCCGGTGATTTTGTTCACGCGAAATTTTCTGCGGTCAATGTTTTAATTCGACCTGCTTGCTATTTTCACCGTCAAGTGTAATGATTCTGTTAGCTTTTCTTTTTTGTTTCCTTGTTTTTTTTTGTTAAGGACCAAATAGCTTCTTTTCAATTAAAGCAAATCGGTGTGTTTTTGAACTAACTGTTTCGTGTGTGTGTTTATTTCATTGCGTGATTGCGACCGAGTTTGATTATAGAAATACAACCGGTTCAGAGTTTTACTGCATGGAGTTGATAGTTTGAACGTTAAACATGAATTACGATCGAAAAAATAAAGCAGTTCTGTATCGTGCAGACATTTCCAAACGAGATTTCTCGGTTTGCCACTTGAAAATCGTGTCTCACTTTTTGCATGAATTAAAGCAAAGGTCAAGGAGTAGTGACGTCACTGGACGGCATTAACGGCCGGTCGATTCAGACGTTACTGAGGGAGTAATAGCGACTCGAAGTAATCGGATGAAATTCAGGCTACACAGTTTTATTGTTGTTCATCGAATCAAAGTCTAAGCCGCGGCTCGGCCTTAAACACGGGGTAACTTAGACAACGTTGAAATAATCGGCCCAAAAGTCTTCAGAGTTGATCTGATCTGATCTGATAGAAATGTTGATCTAGGAAATTTCATTGAAGCTGAATCTTCCAACAATCTCGAACTTATTACCAAGAACTGATGACCCCGCTTTGAGCTCTAAGGCTAAACAGCGGGTTCATAGCATTCTAAGAACGTTTGCCACTCAAAATGACTGGAAAATTATCTCTCATCCTAATATTACTGGCGAACACCTAAATTCTAGCGGTCTTCATTTAAATTTGTTCGGAAGCAAGGCGTTTGCTTCTGATTTTGTAAGATATGTTAAAAATATTTGAATTCCTAATGAATTGCTGTGTCTTCCGAGAGAACCATTACACATGATAAATGAAGTTAATAATAATAATAATAATAATAATAATTCAAAATTTATAACGCGCCTTTTTATCTTTAAATAAAGATAAAAAAACACTAAATATATTACATAGTAGGTTAAAAAATTACATATCAAAAGCTAGCCTAAAAAGATGCGTCTTAAGTAAAGATTTAAAACATTCAAAATTGTCCTCAAGACGGATGTGAAGGGGCAGATTGTTCCATGTATTAGGGGCAGCAGATGAAAAAGCACGATCCCCTAAAGTCTTTTTCAGTTTTAAACTAGGATACTTTAAGATAAGACCCGCTAGCTGAACGGAGATTATAGCGCGGCTGTTCTTTAATAGCAATCAAATCGATCAAGTAACCAGGTGCATGACCGTAGATAGCTTTAAAAGTAAAAAGAAGTATTTTAAAATCAATACGAAATTTGACAGGAAGCCAATGTAACGAACATAGTACTGGTGTTATGTGACTGTAGCGAGGGAGATTAGATATAAGCCGAGCAGCTGCATTCTGCAAGCGTTGCAGTTTAAGTAGATGAACAGAGGGTAAACCAAATAGAAGGCTGTTGCAGTAATCTATACGACCAATTATAAAAGCATGGACCAAAGTTCGTGCAGACTCCTGGGACAGATATTTTCGGATACGATTCAAGTTAGAATCGAACCATGTCCCTAAATTTCTTGCCACAGTGATAAGAGCAACGTCAATGCTTCCTACGGTAAGGCAATCAATATTTACTTTAGAAAGTTGTTGTTTTGTACCAGTCAACATGAACTCAGTTTTGTCATCATTAAGTTTGAGCTTATCCGTACGCATCCAAGTACGAATGTCCTATATACAGCGTTCCATGGCAATGACTGCGTCAGTCTTATTAGTAGCCGTGTCAGAACTAAACGACAGGTAAAGTTGAGTGTCATCATCATAGGCATGTGCTTCAGGTAGATGATATTTGATGACTTCAAACAGTTTTCTGGAATAAATGGTAAACAACAATGGCCCCAGACACGATCCTTGTGGACCGCCATAAGGAAGCTTAAAACTGGTAGATGTAAAGCCATTTAGCGAGACTCGTTGCCACCTGTTGTTAAGATAAGACGTAAACCAACTAAGGGCGGTGCCATTAATGCCGGTGCTTGACTTTAAGGGACTGTGTCACGATTGTGCGCATGTGTGAGCTGTGACAGTAGCTGATTGTCTTTGAACCAATCGGAAGCGAGGAAATTTACATAATTTAAGATTCATTGTTCGCGAAGTGGGAGTCTTCCGGACGTTTATGTTCGATTTTATATATATCCCCATAATTCATATTTATTCCCCGGTATTCCTCAGATAAATGTTGCAGATGATAAGAATAACATTAACAACCCTGTCCTGCTTTGAAACAAACATTTACCTACGTGTATTTTTAGATACCCACGGTAGAAAACCGATCCGCAAACAAAAATAATTTGTAAACCGTTGAACCTTACTGATCTCTCTGTTTATTACCATATATAAACTTAGAAATACCTGCAAATAACTCCTGACCGGTGATCAAAACACACAGTGTAGGATGAGGCAAACGGTTTGCTTAAAATGCCAGCTAAATGCGTGCTATAATAAAATAAGCCATGCCATGCGATCGGCTAGCTCAGTCGATTGATACCGGCTGAAAATCGTAGCATTGTTTGAAAGCAATTCTTAGCGCTTCATCATAAAACGCTTTCATTGCAATAGTAGCCACATAACGTATAAGTATAAAGATTATTCTGAAAGAACAACGCAAAAAAAGGAATAAACAGGAGCCCATAACTATGGCATAAATTTCAACTGCTTATCATCAGCAAATAACAAAATTCCTTCCGAGTCGATGCGTTGCGTGTTCCGCCAAACAAACGTTATCGATTCAACACATAAAGAAACCAGATGTTAAACGGAACATTCAGGGAACAATTTATTTTTAAGAGATCAATTCTTAAACATCTACGCTCATACAGAAAAGATACAAGGAACATTCCCAGTGAACTACATCAGTAAAGATCGCGCGGCCTGTT